CCCCCCCCCCCCGAGTAGTAGCCCTGTAACCGGAACTAACATTATTCATATTTCAACTAAATATAAAAATAACTTTTACTAAACTAGGGAATCCATCATTTTAGACATAAACAAGGAGTTGAAGAAGAGTAAAATAAAAAATACAATACAAATAAAAAGGAAATATTTAAAGAAAAAAATATCATACTTGAAGGGACTGAGGACGTTAATTTAGAATACCCTTCTTTTCAGATTGGCATGTCCGATTCACAACGGGGGAAGAAAAAAACTTTAATTAACTTCAAAAATATTGATAAAATCTCAAAGATTCAATAAATCCAAAGTTTTTTGAAAATTAAACTATTCTCGGCCGGAAATAGGAGAGAGTGAAAATGACAATTGTTAAATAATAGTAGTTATTTTATTTTTCTTTAAATACGTATAAATTGTGATGAAGTAAGTTGTATATTATTTAATTTTTTCACACAAATTGTAGCTTAAAAGATTTACAGTGTTTTTTTGGGCCACCCTTCTATAAAATTTCTACAATATCAAATAATATTTCTTAAAATTTATAATTTCTCGGAAATTGGAAATTTAGGCTTAAATATTTCTGAAAGTTTTCAACTATATAGTCATAAAAAAGTTACGAACAAGTTTTTGCTAGATAAAGTTGATCGAAGGGAGTGAGGGGGGAGGGGGGGGAAGAAGGGTAAGTAATATGGATAAAATTACAATGATAATAATTTTTTTTTGCACACGTACTTTTGGAAATAAGTAGCCAGGCCAAATTTGGGAAGAAAATGGAGAAAACAATAATAATAAATGTGCACAAAATCTTACTTATAAAAATCTTCTCTGCAGAACAGTTTATTGTCGCGGGCAAAACATTTTTCATTCAAACTTAGGCCACAGGTAGCACATCTAAATATATTTATTTTTAGAATTAGCAGACCCAGTTTAGGTATATGGTTTGGCTCTCCCAGTTATAAAATTTTCAGCAGATCCAGTTTACATTTAGAATATAGACTTCAGCAGACCCAGTTTAGATATAGGGCTCAGCAGACCCGGTTTAAAAATTGAAATAGAATTGATCAGTCCCAGTTTAGATATTTAGTTCAAAACCCCAGTTTAGATAAAGGGTACAGAAGACCCAGTTTAGATATGGGGTTCAGAAGACCAAGTTTAGATATGGAGTACAGAAGACCCAGTTTAGATATGGGGTTCAGAAGACCCAGTTTAGATATGGGGTTCAGCAGTCCCAGTTTAGATATAGGGCTTTAGCAGACCCAGTTTAGATATAGGGTTTAGCAGACCCAGTTTAGATATAGGGCTTTAGCAGACCCAGTTTAGATATAAGGTTGACCAAACAAAGTTTAGATATAGGGTTCAGCAGACCCAGTTTAGATATTGCCCTAAAAAACTAACCTGACACAGGCTGGATGCCATGGCTGATCAAGAACAGTCAAAACATACTAAACCAATCAAATCATTTATATATTTTTTATTTTCAATTTTTATTAATATAATCACAAATCTTTTATATTTTTTTTCACTTTTCATTTGTATTTTCATTGAACAGTTGCAGATTGTTGTTTAAATAGAATGCTTTTATTAGATCAACAACAAAGTTGACTACAGATGTTAATTTTGCATTTTTTATGAAATATTTCGGTTTGGGTTGACCAGATCTTAAGATTTAATTCTGTCATAAAGTCTTAATTTTCATTGCCCGTTGAGATGATAAAGCCCGTACATATTCAGCAATTGTTAGTTTCAAGTGGACAATGATGATTATTAAAACTTTTTCTCAAAATTATTTATCGAAAATTTCTTTATTACGCGAAAAAATTATGATCTTAATTTATGACTGTCAAACGTCGATAAAGTAAAATGCACGTTAGACAGAAACTTAAATGATTTTTAACAAAACTCATTTTGTTAAATAGGTATTATTGAGAAGAACAAAAATGTTTTGTAGATAAAATCATAGTCAGAGAAGCTACAAGGTCACAAAGTCGTACCAAAGTGGTCCAGAAATTGGACTTGTCTAGTGGAAAGCGGTCAATGTCTTCTAAAGAAATATTTTGTCATCGTTATTCGTTAAATTTTGACTTCTAAAGCTGATTGTTGCATGCAGGAGAATATTAGAAATATTTAAATTAAAATTAGAGGCAATAAACTTCGATTGACTACTTTAAACAACTTATCTAGGAAATTTATATTTTACAAGCATCAGCTTTTCATATATAATTATACACATTTAGCGTGAGGATTTTTCCACATTTTAATTAATATCATTAATTTAAGTTAATTTTTCTAGTGTTCTTTGGTCTTTGAAATATTCCACAGTGTGATGAAGGTTTATTATTTTACTAACAAAATGGTGGATACAAACAAAATTAACGTTTTATTAATTATTTAATTTCTGGAATATAAATATTTTTTGCTTTGTTTAATGTTTAGGTATTCACTAATAAAATCATCCTAACTTTGGACTACCTTATTTCTCCAATATTATTAATTGTGAGGTATTAATAAAAAATGGCAGAAATTTAAAGGAAAAAATAAAACCTGACGGCGTGATATCGATTCAGGAGAAGAAAAAACATTTGAAAAGAAGAAATAGTGTGATAGTACAAATTCATGAAAAATAAGTTGTACTTTTGTAAGACATTACATATTGTCAAAATTGATGAAAAGTTAAGATTTAAATCTTAAAATATTGACATTAGCTTTAGATTTTTTTATAGGATATTTATTTTGACAAACATACAGTGGGCTGTTGGACTAATTCAACTGTGGAATAGGAATACGACATTTGTATGAATTTTATTTTCTTGTGAAGCAAATAGTTTCCTAGTGGCTTAAAAGTCAATTTGTTTTTGAAATAAGCCTTGGTACACTGAATGATTGCTGTGCTTCCCGTTTTTTAAACTATTAGAAATATTTATAAAGTCGTCTTTCTATTCCTGGGTGTGTTCAATAGATGCAATTGTATATTATAATTTCCATAAGTTTTTGTACTTAATAGGATGTTTTTGCATTGCAAAAGGCGTTTTACATTGCACAAAGCTTTTCAAAATATGTATTTTGCAATTCATAAAATTAGAATATGAATGTTTTTGTTATTGTAAAAGATTGTTTGGCATTGCATAAGATTGCTTAAGTTAATTTTACATCAGATTTTTTGTAATCTGTAAATGTCTATCCAATATTTTTTTTTGATTGCATATTGTTTAACTTTTAAATTAACTAAATAATAAAACAATTTTGCACAGATATATTTGAATTCGACGAAATTATTGCTTTGTTTCAGATGTTTTGCCTAGAATTCATTTGATTTATTCTTAAATTCTATGTTTGTCATTTTTTTTTATAAATATTAGAATTTAACCTCCAGGTTTTAACAGTGTAAGGATGCGTTTTCTCCTCAGGTTTAAAGTTAGTTGCATTTGATGTGCATATATATGTTAACCTCAGATTCACTTAGATTTTTTAACATCGATTCATTAAAGGGACTGTAAAGGAAAAATGAAAGGGGGTATAAGCTGAAAGCTAATCACTTTAGCTAGTGATCGCGATCCATTTTTCCATTACAGTCCCTTTAAGCTCAAGCTATCAAGTTAATCCTTGAAAGTGTTGTATTAACAAAATTTTATAGCATAGTTAACATTTGTATAAAGAAGATCATACATTTTTTCCTTAACGGTACAGTTCTTTGAAGAAGGTCTTGCTCGATTCACATCTATACCAGCTTACGCTTTTATCTGATCAATAACGTTAAATATATCTTCGCTTTTCTACCTTAACAAGTATTCAGTTCTAACAAATTTCCTCCATAGATTCTGAAGAAAGAGTTCTTTAAGTCACTTTTAAAGAGAACCCATGCAAATGAGAATACCCATCATGGTTTGAAATATATAAGGTCAGTAACATCAGGTTGCAAAGGAAAGGATTATCATATTGTAGATTGTTAGATATTAATGTATAATGTAAAGGAGTTGAGGTTTTGCCACAAACTCTGATTTTCTAATCTCTGTATCTTTGTATACCAATGTCGTAGACCTTAGATATTTCAAACTATTAATACTTACAGATAAAGTAATCTAAGTTTGAAATATCAGAGGTTTGCATCATCAGGTTGCTAAGATATTGGGCTAAGAAGATTTGAGTTTGTGGCTAAAACTCAATTTCTTTAGGAAGAAACACGCAGAAAAATGTTCTCCAAAAATTGGGGAAAATGTCTGTCTCAAAGTGCGTATTATTAACTTCTTATTTCGTAAATTATCATAAAATTATCATTCATTGATTAAAAGGCTGAAATATCCTGGTGTGTAGTATATACCAGAGTATAAGGGCGCAAATATTGGTGTAGGAAAACAAATGAGAAATCAAATTTAGTAATCTCAGGCATTCGATCTCTTCAAGTTCATCGTTTATGCAGGACTCCAACTGGACCCCTCAACAGGACTTCGACAGGAGTCTATCAGGACTCCAACAGGACCCCTCAACAGGACTTCGAAAGACAGAATACAGAGAGGAAGGGAGAAGAAATATGATGACGTGGTATAGGAATATCTGGTGGTATTGATATTAAGTTAAACAGTAAGAGTTAAATCGTACAATATGCGAAGAAGTTGCTATGCAAAACTTCCTCTATATAATTGTTGTACAAAAATAACAGTTCTTTAAGAATATGTAGATTTCCAGTATATCTATTAACCTATTGAACCATAAAGTTGAAAGCAGTAAAAAAAAGTTTGAACAGATGTAAAAAGTTAAACTTAACGTAAAAATTAATTAAAGAAAAAAAACCGAAATTTTTTTCATTTAAAAATTGTACTCACATTTCTCTGGTTTTTACTTTTTTAATGCGACTGTAGAAAAATTAAAATCATCTAACATAGTTTTTTTTGTTTTGATTATCTATCCCCCCCCCTGAATTGCCCCGCAGAAAAGGGGGGAGGGGAATTGAGTTATTGCCACAAACACAAAACTTCTTATCTCTATATCTTTGCACCTGAGGGTGATATCTCAAACTAGGATTATTTGATCTAACAGAATTTATAGTTTGAACTATCTTAGGTCTACCATTGGATTACAAAGATATAGGCCATAGGGATTAGAAAATCAGAATTTGTGTTAAAGAATTAATTCCTTTTGGGGCAAAATCTGCTGTGCAACTTCAAGTAACATGAATATCATCGACATTAAATGATTTGAAAAATTTTTCTAAAATTTTAAACCTTTCCTCATCTACCACAAAACTGATTAAACTACAGAAAGTGTCAGGTCACAAAACAATGAAAGGAAAATAGTCAAAAAAAACTCTTTTCTAACCAAATATCTAATTGTGCGTGTACACTGTTTATCAACATTTCTAAAAGAATTGATGTGATTTATTTGTCATGCTTACATCACCCCTCGGCCTCCCTTCCCCTTAAAAATGTTTCTCTTCTTGAAATTGATGAGTATAGCGCGGCGCGCGGGATTCTGACGTATGCCCCGCCTGTTTAAATGGGCTGTAATGCATATCAATGAAGGAAGACGATTGAAATCTTGGGTTGATGGATGCGCGGCAATTTGTTGGGACTAATTTATTCCATTCGTAACACATAGATGAAGAAATTCTCTTCGTTCACTAATACATAACTAATCCCTTGTCATACCAAATAATTTATTATAATTTACAACGAAGGTTATAAATAACAAAAGTAAATCTAGGAAAACATTAATCATAAGAAATCTGCGCAATTCTACCGCGCGCTTTCTAGATGTAGCGTGAGTCCCAGATTACATGAACAATTTTATTTTATTTAGTTTGCTCTTTCGTACAAAATGATTTAATATAGGCATAACGCGTAAGCAGCGTTGTGCCAAATTTTGTGTAATTGTGCCTAATTTGCTGAAATACCATGATTGTGTTGCTCGTGCTTCTAAGATACATGCGCACCTAGCGATAAGCAATAGCTAAATTCGTTTTACAGAAACTTTTAATATTTTCAGACTTTTAAAAGGTTTTACAACAATCTGAGAAGGTTTTTTTTGTAGAAGTTTGCTTTTGGCAAAACATGCAAATTTGTTATACTAAGTGAAAATATAAGGCAATAACGAACCAAAAACTATCGTTTAAAAACCTGAAAACTAACCTTTTTGCCTCATATTTTTTTCTTGGGTAACAAATTTTCATGTTTGATAAAGCTAACTTTTACAGAATAAAGATGTCGTAAAACCTTTTAAAAGTCTACCGGAAGTATTTCCCCACATTCTACAATTTTTTGCTATCTTTGTTTTATCTTTTCTTAAAATACACAGCATGAGATAATACAAATAAACAGAATTTGCTTTGAAGCCTTAACCTGCCTAATCAGAGTAGGTCGTCTGGTAAGTTAAATGAAAATTGTTAAAACGTTAAACATTTTATATTATTTCTCATATTGGTTTAAACTTAAAAATGAATTCCCTATATTTACTCCCTCCCTCCTCTGCCTGGGGAATTAATTCCCCCTCCTCGCTAGGATTGTTTGTGTTGCTACTTAATCTAGCAGAAGGTTCAAGATGAGAAGAAGAGAGGGGAAAGAAGAACAATAGAAGATACAAGAATAACAAACTTTAAACCTGTTAAACAATTTCACAAATTAAAATGGAAACTTTATCGGCAAAACATTCAGATTTAATTTCCCCGCTAAGGACTAAAACCAAAAAATGATATTAACTAGAAAACTGTATTTTCAAATTTTGGCAAACGAAATGGAATATAAAAACTAAGTTTAATTTTCTATACATACTTTATTAATTTTGCAACCTATTGTAGACCTTCGATAATCAATATTCCAAACTTTGAATTTTGCTAAACTAATGACCAAATTTTAAAATATCGAAGGTTTTCAAAGATTTGGGGATAAGAAAATTATATTTTGAGAGAAGTAATACGTTACTTTAGGAGAAGATATACGAAAGGTAAGGTTTTTTAAAAAGGGAAGAAATATATGAAGCTTAGGTTCGGATATATAATGTTGGTCTGGTAGCTAAGTTAGGTTCGGATATATAATGTTGGTCTGGGAGCTAAGTTAGGTTCGGATATATAATGTTGGGTCTGAGAGCAAGGCTAGATTCGAATATTTAGTGTTGGGTCTGGGAGCTAATTTAGGTACGGATATATAATGTCGGGTCTGGGAGCTAGGCTAGATTCGAATATATAGTGTTGGGTCTGGGAGCTAGGTTAGGTTCGGATATATAATGTTGGGTCTGGGAGCTAGGTTAGGTTCGGATATATAATGTTGGGTCTGGGAGCTAAGTTAGGTTCGAATATATAATGTTGGTCTGGGAGCTGAGCTAGGTTCGGATATATAATGTTGGGGCTGGGAGCTAAGTTAGGTTCGGATATATAATGTTGGGTCTGGGAGCTAAGTTAGGTTCGAATATATAATGTTGGGTCTGGGAGCTAAGTTAGGTTCGGATATATAATGTTGGGTCTGGGAGCTAGGTTAGGTTCGGATATATAATATTGGTCTGGGAGCTAGGTGAGGTTCGGATATATAATGTGGGTCTGGGAGCTGAGCTAGGTTCGGATATATAATGTTGGGTCTGGGAGCTAGGTTAGGTTCGGATATATAATGTTGGTCTGGGAGCTATGTTAGGTTGGGATATATAATGTTGGGTCTGACGGAAGATGATAAGAGAAGGGAGACGTTATTCCCTCCATTGTATAGAACTGATAGGGGTATTACGACCAATCTCTAGGATGCAGGAAACCAGGGGGAACAAGGGGGAACAAGATGGAACTCAGGGGTACAGAGGGAACTATGGGAACCAGGTTCAAATAGATAAACCATTGACACAAGGGGGAACCCAGGGAACAGGGGGAACCATAGCGGGTACTAAAGACACCAGGAAGAACCAGATGAACCAGTAAGAATTAAATGGAGCTCAGGGGAACTAGGGGAATCAGGGAGAACTAAGGAAACCTAGGAGGAAAACTAGAGGACACCAGGGGAAAACACAGAAAACTATGGAAAACTGCAAAAACTTTGGAAACTCAGAAATCAGGGGCACCAATGGAACCAGGCTGAATTATTGGAACCATGGAGATATAATGGGAAATCTAGGGAAATAGGGGAAACTAAAGAATCCCTGTGTAACTTAGGAAACCAGGGGGAACTCAGGGAACTATGAGAACATAAGGGAATTTATAGGGAACCAGTGATTCAAGGAAACCAGGGATGAGAGGGAAACAGAGGGTTCAGGAGAAACAGAGAGGAATGAGGAATAGTGGAGTTGGAAGAATAATAACTGAGAAATGAAGAAGGGAAAGGAAACGGAGGAATAGGGTTAAGGAGTGTAAGGGATGGAAGAATGAGGATTGGGTAATGGAGGATATTGAAGAATGAGGAAATAGGTTCGAAAAATGAAGGGGGAATGTGAGAATGGGGGTTGAGGAGTATGTGTAAGAGACAGGAGAATAAGGGTTGATGGGGAAGGGGACAGGAGAATGAGGAAGAGGGGGAGGTTTTAAGTTTCTAAACTTTCCTAACTTTGGAACATCAATCTTCAAACTTTGAAAACTTTTTAAACTGAGTTCATTGTCAGAATAGATCATTACACAATCGGTTTATTTTGGTTTAAATTGCTTTAAGAGATATTGACCCTCGCAAGAAAGCCATTAAAAAAAATCATACATTTTGGGTAATCTAAACAAATAGTTTCCCCTTGAATCCCCCCCCCCCTTGAATGTAGTATTAATGTTATGTTTACATTGTATCTCTGATAATTCAATTAAAAGTATAAAGGAAGGAATACCGCTGGTATAATATAGAAATTAATGAGTATTTTTATTCCCCCCTCGCTTTAATCTTTCCTGCTGTCAAAACACGATACAGAACATGTCAATGGTTCTGATAGGAGTCTAACTACACGATAATTTCATAGTAAACATAATCTTTATAAAGATATATAAACCGTCACTTCCAGAGTTGGTAAAAGGGAGAAATAGTTTAGAAAGCTTAGAAGTGAAAAAGATTCTACGTTTTAAGAGAAACCATTAATATTATTCAAAGAAAGTTTAATTCAACATTTAAAATGATCAATTGGTTGATTTCACTTTCCAAAGGAACGGAACACTGAACCCAATTTTCTAAACAACTTTTTTCTTAGACCGGCCCTTGGACCTTTGATATTTCAAACCATGCACTCTGTTAAATCTCAAGTGGCAAAGATATAGGGATTTGAAAACTGGAGTTTGGGACACCTGAGCTGGGAACTTTAGAATGGGATACCTTTAATCCTTTAATTAGTGGACACTTCTAATATCTTGCTTAATCCACTCTTTTTTGGATAAAGTAGAGAAAAATCAAAAACAGGTTTTTTTAAATTAGAAATTCCCTCCCATTTCTGTATATTAATCTTTGATGGCGCGCAAAATTAAAAATTTACCGGCTTCTGATACGGGACTCTGATTGGTCGAATTTTATACACTTTTCAGGATACAAGTACAAGATTAGGTTAGTCTTGAGATTAAGAAAAAGAGAGGATCAAAGCATTAATCTCGATATCAACCATTCTAAAGTTCCCAGCTCTGTTCAGTTTCTTTTCAACTAAAACTTTCAACCCATTATTTTCTACCCCCAACTAAAAGAAATTGCCAAAACTGGACGCATGTTGAATATTATGATATTATGAAACTACAAATCGTTTCAGAAATTTTTTCGGCATAATGATAAGAAATGGCCGTTTTAAAAAAACTGGTTTTGATGGACAATAGCTAATTTCTACGACCATAAATATTAAACAATTAAAATACTATATTCCATATAATATTTTATTTTAAGAAATATTGAGAGAAAAATAAATATTCCGTTTTCTGCGGAAAACATAAATTTTGAACGGTTGTGTAAAATTATTTAAATTAAACATCAATCACTACGTGTATCCGGTCTACAGTGCAAGATCAATCCTCTCAAGCTTGGGTCAACCGACCTTTCTACACAAAATAGTTTTACATTTTAAAGGGACTGTAAACATTTTAAAGTGGCATGTTCGATGCTCAAAGGTGCCGGCCCTTTGAACCTCGATCTGAAGAACAACAATAAAGATATCATCGTTTTTCTGTTTTAAAAAGAAAAGAACTCTCTTAATTCCTTTCGTTGTCACTGGTCCATGAATTCCTAAGTCCTTTTAAAGAAGAAACCACAGTTAAAAATCACCAATTTTTAGCTATTATGAGGATATCTCATCACTCCTTGATCAGACACAGATCCAGATATCTATTCTATTTATTATGTTTATTTCTAAATAACTTATATCCATAGTCCATACAAATACAATATCTGATATCTCAAGATTCTTGTATTCGTTTTGTATTCAGGAGAAGGATTGAGAATCCCTGGTTTTCACTAGACCCTGATACTCTCCCCTGGTTTTCACTGCACCCGGAGACAATCCAGAATATGAATATATACAATACAAGATCATTCATCATCTTTAGTTAGAAAAATTCACATTTTCAACTCTTTTCTAGTCAATAAACTTTCCTCAAATATTTTTTAACATTTTTTAACTAATCTCCAATCTCCATTTAAAAGAGGGAAATGGTCTATTCACAGCAGTATCCTTAACACTTTAATCTTATCAATAATGTTGAAGATAACGTTGTTTTCTAAAAACCACAAATGAAAGTAATCAGTTTCCAATAACAAAAACATGGATTTCTAATTCATAGTTCATAATATTAATTCAACAAAAATTAAGGTTCATTTCGTATTTTTATCTAACTTCAAAGCAAAAGATAATATTAATAACAAATTACAATTTACTATGTTGTTTGGACCCGCCTAACCAGAAAGAGTAGGTTGTTTTGAATTGGTTGGCCCATTATAAGAGAATGAGAATTGAAAATAAATATATGGGTGTAAACTGTACATTGTACATTTTAAACATAACAATGATGATAAATCAGGAAAAAGGTAAGGAGGTGATGAAGGTGAAGCTGGTGGAAAGGGAGGTGGTGAAGGTGAAGGTCATTGGACAGTGCTATGTGAATCTAGTTGTCTAGATATCATTGCTATGTGAATCTAGTTGTCTAGATATCAGTGCTATGTGAATCTAGTTGTCTAGATATCAGTGCTATGTGAATCTAGTTGTCTAGATATCAGTGCTATGTGAATCTAGTTGTCTAGATATCAGTGCTATGTGAATCTAGTTGTCTAGATATCAGTGCTATGTGAATCTAGTTGTCTAGATATCAGTGCTATNATTATTATTATTATTATTATTATTATTATTATTATTATCATTATTATTATTATTATTATTATTATTATTATTATTATTATCACTATAATTTATTGATTGGTTTCCTTGTCTAGGATTGGTTTATCACAGGCAGTACAGAGCATGAGCATCCTGGAGGTGTTAGTCACGTGATCACAATAATCATTGTCACATATATAATAATGAGTGTAGTATTAGGCTGGGCCCACACAGCTAGACTGAATTAGCGCGATGTAAGAACGATGCCGCCAGGATCTGAAAGCAGGGCTTGATGACGTCACGCTCCAGCGGCATCGTTTCTATAGGAGGGATTCTTTAGATACAGGGGGGGAACTTTGCTTGAGGATTTTTCTTTTACAGGTCTTAACGATGTTCTGAAGAGAGGGGGGGGGG